TGTCTCCATTCCTGCTCCTTTGGTCCACTATTTACCATCCTTCGTTAATGTGTTGTGAGTGCGCACACCAGTGCGTGGGAGATGGCATCCAGAGGATTGCCACAGGTTTGAGGCCTGCTCGCTTTACAGAGCAAGTGTCAGTGCAGCTAGACCACGTAGTAAAACCCTGTCTCAAAAATCAAACAACTTCGGTTGGAGAGTTGACTCAACAGTTAAGAGTACTTGTTGCTCTTGCAGAGGACCAGAGTTCAAGTCTCAGCACCCACACGGTGGCTCTCAGTCTCCTGTAACTTCAATCCCAGAGGATCTGACACCTCCCCCTGGCTTTCATGAGCACTACACACATGTGGTATGCACATCTTCATGCAGGTCAAATACTTACACATAAATTAATAAAGTAAAATAAAAATTTAACTCCCCACAAAATAACATCAAAAAGGAGAACCCTTAATCAGATCTTTTCAGGAAGAAAATCTCAATTTATGGCTCAACTATCCCAAGCCCCCAAGGCTCGGGATCCCTAGCCCAGGTATATGTCTGACCTTAAGTCCTTTTGTTATTCAAGGGGACATCGGAAGATGCAGGGTGAATAGCCAATAGAACTGCAGGTTCTCATGGTGCCAGGCGTGAAGGAAGCCTGATGCTCCAGCCCCCTGGCTGCCAGGCACTCTGGGATCCTGGCTCTCTGCCAGAGGTGAAAACGAGCTGCAGGCCTCTGGCCACTCTCGCCCCCTCCTCTTGGGTTTGCATCTCATTGCTGAGGGTTGCACCAGGCTTAATCTCTGTAAGAGCAGACTCCAAGGAGCCAGGCTGCAGGGAGCAGTGCCAGCAGCTTGGAGTGCTCTGTGAGCATGCCCTGTGCTTGGGCAAGGAGGCCAGAGCAATATGCAGAAATGGCTTTTAGCGCTCCACCCGGTCTGTGCCTTCCGGTGCCTGCGGAGACTAATATGAAGGACCTGGTGAAGGTCATAGCCTGTGCTCTCTCTCCAAGTGTAGGTTCACTTAGTCAATCTTATTCTCACCCCTGTCCCGATAAGCCTTCATCTGAGACAGAGTTTATTTCAAAGTAAAGGTGCCTGTGGCCCACTTCAGGGCTTAAATGTGCAGCATTCATACAAGTGAGGCTTGATCATGGCCTCTAGGCTGCTGGGCTTTTCCAAGAATGGAGATAATAGCCAATAAGTAGATGTAAGGTAATGAGAACGGGCACCCTTTTTCGTTTGTTTACCAGGGAGCTCAGAGCTGAATGGATGCTCCATCACTAAGCATCTAACAGTAGATTATTATAATTGGTGTCTCATGGGTGCCCATGGGAGAGCATGGTAGACATAGGACGTTCTTGTCATCTCTGACACCCGGAACCTGAGATCTGACACTCTGTTTCCTAGCCATCCTATTTTGTACAAGGTGAGTATTCCTAGTCTGAAAATCCCAAATGCAACGTAAATCAAAACCTGACACATCCAACAAATGATCAAAGTTTGGAGCATTGGGCTCTGGTAAGGAGTATGCCAGCATTCCAGTGTTGGTACACTCCCAGGTCTGAAACACTTTTGGCCGAGCATCTCAGACAGTGACATCTAACCTGGGTGTAATTCTGTAAGACTATGTGAGGTCCCATGCATGCATGCAAGCAAAGGTCACAGACCTCTCTATTGGGAGGTGAGGACGCTGTCTGATGGCCATTGCAGTTGGCCTGTCTGTGTACCTCTTGTCCTACGTGGTCACTGTGTCCCTTTCCCTCTGCACCTGACCCCTGCCTTCACCTCTGAACCCCAGCGAAACAAGCCCCTATAAAGTGCTCCTAGACTCTTCCCAAGGCCTTCCCTCAGTCTGTACCCCATTACTTCCTCGTGGGATGCCCTGGCAGTTATGATTATCCCGATATGGCTGGTCTACGAAGACTTCTTAAGGCTTAAATTGCAGGCATGTCCAGCCTCTTGATGTTGCTACTGATGTTTGTCTTCTACAAAATTCACACTCCAGAGCCTTGCAAATCAGTTCAAACAAACAAACAAACAAAAAACGGGCTGGAGAGATGGATCACACTGAACTTTCATAGCAATTCCAGCTCCAGGGAGATCCCACAATCTCTTCTAGTCTCCCTGGGTACCTACACTCACATGTACAGCCTCTCTCCCTCCCTCCCTCCTTCCCTCCCTCCCTCCCTCCTTCTCACTCTCCTTCTCCCTCCCTCTCTGTCTCTGACACAACTAAAATCCATAAAATGCTTTCTAAATGATATATTTATTTTTATTTTATGTGCATGTGTGTTTTGCATGCATGTATGTCTGTGTACCAAATGAATGCCTGGCGCCCATGGAGGCCATCAGAGGGCACTGGATTCCCTGCAACTGAAGCTACAAATGGTTATGAGCTGCCGAGTGCTGGAATCAAACCTGGGTCCTCTGGAAGAGCAACAGGTGCTGTTAACTGCTAAGTCATCTCTCCAATCCCTACAAAATTCTTAATAAGGAAGGAAAATCTCAGGATGTTCTAAGTGAGTCTATGGCTTTGTGTGGACATCCTGGGGCGCATGCCCAGTAGAAGGAAACAATGACAGTCTCGAGTGCTCATACTTCAGGACTTACCGCAAGGACTGGGCTCCCAGGCTCACGAATCTGATTCAGCTATGCCTCTCACTGCCCCAGCCCCTCAGTGCCAGCCTTGTCACCTCCCTTACCACCTCTTGTCTGGCTGCATGGGGAAGTAGAATCAAAAACAACAACAACAACAAAAACCTCCGCAAACTTTCCTTGAAATCTCTTGAGCTGAGTGTCTGTGGGGCAGCTAGGACACAGAAGGCCGTGCATTTTGACCTGGGTCATTTGATCATTAATTTGTTTGGCAGATGTGAATCCTGCCTGGGGTGGGGGTAAGGCTGAGACTAGGGTGCAGAATTAAAGGAGGTCCACTCCCATGCCCCACAGACTCCCTGGGAATGGGAGTCCCCTGTCCCCTTTAGGTTCTTGCCCTAATCCCTGGTGTATGTTTTCCCAGCCTCCACACATTTCCTAGCATATTTTTTCTGGCACCTGTTACAGGTGTTAGGAAGGCAATGACAAGCCACAGAGCCTGTGAAGCCATTTGTAAAGACTGCCCTTTACAGGGAACTAGCTAGAGGCCATTACACATAAGACAGCTATTATCAGATACGACCAAGACTAGTGGAGGCATTCCTAGGGTCAGTGGGCAGTGAGGAAACGGGCAGGGACACACCTAGGTCCCTAGGAGCCAGAGCAAGGGAGCACTGTGCAAAATGATCCTAGGCTGTGTGTTCTCAGAAAGCTCTAGAGTTTGTCAGTGATTGGCTAAAAAGAGAAATTCAATAGTGGAGACTATTCTAAGCTGCCCTTGTTGGGGTTGCCCGGTTATGTTCCTGATCAGCTTGCTTTTCTTCCTCCCTCCCTCTCTCCCTTCTTTCCTTCCTTTCTGTTGTTCTTGTTTGTTTGTTTTTTGTGTTAGGGTCTCACTATGTAGCCCTGGGTGTCCTGGAACTCTCTAAGTAGTCCAGGCTGATCTCGAACTCACAGTGCTCCTCCGTCCTCTGCCTCCTGAGTACTGGGATTAAAGGCGTGCGTCACTACTTGCAGCTCCTCATCCGTTTTCTCTCCTGGAATTGTAGCGTCCCCTAAAGCTATTTGTCCCTGTCGTCTGCCATATCTGTGATGGAATCTATCATCGACTCCTACAAGTTTTCCTCTGACCTCCACACATGTGTTCGAGGCATGACCCCACTCCAGATTAAATTAAATAAATAGATTTACTAAGAGAAATGGGAATGCAGAGAAGTCAGACAATCCTCATCATCATCCAGTTTGGCAGCCTTGGCCAAGTACCACAGACATTACTGCCTGGCTTCAATCCCGTAGTTCTGAAGGTTGAGAGGTCAAAGGTCAAGGTGCACCTATTCAGTTTCACTGGGACGAGGGATCTCTACCTTGCAGATGGGACCTTCCTGCTGTATCCACACAGGCAACACCTCATCCAGTCTGTGTCCTCTCCAAAAAGTCACAGTAGGATTTAGGACTTGAACATAGCGGAGTGTCAAAGGGCAAAAGTTTAGCCCCTAACACCTGCCCCATGGCTGCACAACGTGTTCTAGAGACTTTAACTCTGGAGTTTCTCTGGAGTTTAGGCTGCTTCCAGACGAAGGGCCTGTGGGACTCCTACCCGTGCAACTGCAGCCCGGTCAGCCTGCCTGACCTTGGGACAGTCCCTTCTCAGCTTCCAGCCCTTGGCACCCCTTTTCTCCGCGGGTGGCTGGGAAACCGTAGCCTGGACCCGGAGGTGGAGCAAAACGCGCGCTCGCACCCCGGGCGGTGCAGGTGGCGCAGGGCGTGGGCTGCGGTGGCCGAGGTGGGTGTCGGCGGTGGCGCTGCGGAGGCTGTTGCGGCCCGCACGCGACCTTCCGCGCGTGAGCCCGGGACTG